GACCATGCATGGATGCTGTACACTCACATGGGTATGATGAACGTCAAAGACAAGCAACGATTCGACGACATTGTCGTGTACAACTACAAATACAGTATCGAAGTGAGATTGATTCAAGAGTTAAACGACGTTGCAATCGTCACCGACATCCCATGCGATTACGAGGAGAGGAACATGCGGCGAAAAATGATCCTGGAACGAAGCGAGCTGATGAACGTTCAACTGGAGATCGGTTCCGAGAAAATAACCGACGAGCAAACAGCGCCAGTTCACAGAGGCGTGAAAAGGATCCAGGATTGGCTGGACAAACTGAAGGTACGTTATCGTAACTGTATATTCCGCACCACTCGATTCTCCGTGGCGTTCTGGAAGGACAATCTGTTCTGGTACCTGTACAATCCGTATCGATGCGACAAATTCGGCTATTGGGACGACGATGGATACGCTTGCATCTTGAAGTTCTGCTCCAAGCAATCTCTCACGAGGCACCTGATGATTCTCCTGCTAAGAGCTTACGTTTACACCACTTCAAAACCGGAGAAGAAGTCAGAAGCCGAAGAAGCTGCCGCGGAGCAATCAACCGTAGAAGATACGGAATTACCGGATAGTGGAATTTCGAAACCATCGGGCGACGACCACGCGGAAGAAAAATTCTACACGGTTCAAATTTTCCACGTGTCTCACCTTTGCTGCCAGATCCACAATCTCAAACTGTTGCAACGAGGTGCACCGAAGCCAGCGAAACGCTACGTGAAGAAGAAGACCATCGACGATTGTCCTTTCGATCCTCTGGACATGAGGGACCCGTGCACGATCGAGCAAGAGGAAGGCGACTTGAAAGAATCGATCGAAAAGCCTACGTGGCTGAAACTGTACAAGATCAGCTGGACCAAGTCTCTGGCTGTTCCTCAGAAGAGAAAAGGCACGAAGGAACTCGCCTTGGGGAAGATGCGCTGGCATCAGTACGTCGTGGAGGAATCGAACAAATTATTTTCCCTGTGGGGTGAGATTCACATTACGGACGGTGTGTTCGAGAGGGAAAACCGCGGAATGCAAACGTACGCCTGTTACGTTGTTTGCGCTGGCATGACGAGAATCATGGCGCCTGAATATTGGAGCTCGAAGACTCTGGACGTGATCGTCATGTGCGGCGACAGATATTACACGCACAGCAAACTCGAAGCTGAGTTCAAGTCGACGAAGACCGAATACAGCTACGTGAGTTGTTGGAACAGATATTTGATGAGTCATTTCAAGATCGGCGAGACGATGTTCGAGGCGAAGGTACTGCCAGCGATTTGCGGCCGTTTGTACGCGAAATCTGGCAAGTACCTGTGGCAATCATTGGAGCAAATGTTCCTCAAGTATAAGTTTGGCATTTTAACGTGCGAAAGCTCCTGTCTAGGCGTCTTCAAATTCTGTGGCGCTTATTACATGTGCGACGTCAACTCTTTCGGACCGCCACTGTTTTCGTACGGCGAGGGAGCAGTTTATCTGTTAAGAGCCACGTATTTCTTGAAGTTCATCACGGTCCTGGTATTGACTATTGGCTCGCCGGAATGCAGCCAGTTTGCTCTGAACCCTATCGAAATATTGAAGGTCGTCGATGTAGGTCCCTCCGCGTTCCACGTCACAAGAGCCGAGAAGAAAGATAGAGCTAAAAGAGTGACTAAAGTCGAGTGCCCGTACGACGAGGAGAAGAAAAAACAGATGAAAAAGTGGAAGCACAAGAGAGCGGAAACCGCACGACTTATCGATAAGTTATGCTGCAAGGGTGAAGCATGATCGTTCATTTTCGTTTCATTTCTGTCCTCTGCAACACCTGCGAACTGTAATTCGTTCTAAATTCGCTTTAAAGGCCTTTCAGTTTCGTCGACCAATTGTTGTACCAATTGAATAAATGATATTGTCTATTAGTAATTTCACATGTCGATTCTATTAATCGTAACGTTTCGAATCAAACTTTTAATTCTTCTGCGGTTAACAATGTTCACCTCAAAGAAATCGTCGTCAAGCTTCATTGTAGTGGAATAAATTTCGCAATTACCTGCCAGAAATCTTACGAAATGAGCAAACACTGTTCGGTTCATTTTCGCACGCAAGAACGTTACTCGGGATGGAGGGGAGCCCACGGGAACAAATAGAATTGTTGCAGAACACAGGGGAAAATTCGTCGATACCGAATTTAGAAGATAGAGGGGTGGAAAAAGGAATGAGAGAAAGGAATGAGAATCTTTTAGGAACAGAAGAGAGTGAAAAGAAGCCGGTGGTTAAGTCGATCGTCTTTAGGTCTCAGTGCAGCAACGGCGCGGAACTTATTAAAGTTGTACCACAAGAGAACCTCTTAGTTCTCGGTCGCCGTCGGGATTTATGTACTTACCCCGAACTTGGCTGAAACTTTCCTCTCGCGCGGCGAAACTTACGGTGTCCATGAACTGGCGCTACCGCCGGTCTAGCTGCTCTTTCACTCCTATCGCACAATACTAATAATATAATCGTCAAGGCATGTCGAACTAAGTTTCAACTACAACGCCGTTCTAGGAAACTGCCCAGGGATTTTAATCACTGATCTATTCTGTAACGCGGAACATTCTCTGCAGAGTACATTCCTGCGATCACGAAGTAGAGAGCCAGGGTATACCTTCTTTCCCTCCCCATTTGAAAAATCCGACTTTTCACTTTCACTGTTGTTCAATAGATTTATAAAATAGTATTACTTGTAGAAATTTACGCGTGAAAAGAAGCAAATTAAGGTGATTCTTTCTTTAATTCTCGAGCGAACATTCAGTCACCACAGGTTTTTTACAAAATGTTTTTCAAAGCGTAGTTTCCACGGTATAACTGCTAACGATTATCGTTAAAATCCTACTTTCTTAAAGGACGGAAATCACACGGAAGTAAAATGCCATCCTGATATCTGTATCTCGAATCAATAATTTATTTCACTACCTATTATTATACACATCGATCGTAGGCTATATGTACAAACATATTTACATCCTAATTCGGTATTTACACGTCTGTCCCCTGCACGAGGGTAGGAAAGAAACCTGTC